TCCACAATCTTGGCATTCAATAATTAGAAATACCTGGCAAACCCCAGTTCGCCTGTTTGTGAAAGAAAATATCAAAAACTGTAAATTTGGGAGAATCCGAAGAATCAACTCACTATTGAAGTAAATTTACAAAGCGTTAAGTGTAATTTCCCCATTGGATTCAAAAAGTCTTAATTTCGGTAAAATCGTGCGCCTGAATGTGATAGTTCGGTCCGTCAATTTTGCCTGAGCAGAGATGTAATTAATGGTGTAACAAAGAAAAGAAATAAAATGGACAGAAGTAATGATAAGAGTACATCCAAAAATTTTGAAAATTTTCAGCAAAATCCACTTATTGTCGCTTGGACAAGACATTTTCCGCGTCCACTAAGTGAAAAACTCAAACCATTGCTCAATTGTGAAAACGTATGTATTTTTGTTAACAGAACGGAAGCAACTGCATAGTAAGTTTATTATTTTAGACTGCTCTAATTTTCGCGCGGCGCGTAAGAATAACTATGGCACTCTTCTTTCATACCAATAGTTGTATGAAGGTTTTTTGAAAGTCGAAAATGTTCAATACATTCGAATATTCTAGTAACAAAGAACCCTCAGCTTTCATTATTCATGGACCCAACATGGACATTGCTGATCTGCCAAGTCGACGTCCTGGTACCTTGATAATTCTGCTGAATATGGAGGCTCCATTCAATGCTGGAACTGGTATACGTATGGTAATATTCTCATCACCATAGTCCAGCTCAAACTACTCACCCAATTTCATGACAGCTTTTAGGGGATTCCTTGGCAATGCATTACATATACCAAGAGTTTCTTTTAGGTACCTCCTGATTACTTCAACGCAGTCATTACTTATAGAAAAGACGCACATTATTATCATCCGTATGCCGCTTTCCTGCCACTCAACGAAAGCAATACTTATAAGGAAGTTATAACATCGGAACAAGTTTGTTAGCCTAAAGAAAATATTGCGGCTTACAACAAAGTAGAAAAAGATAAAAATGGTAAAAACATATAAAGCGATTTCTCTAATCAAGCACAAGTTCTTGTTTGTTTTGTCAAGTTGAAACAAAATAGTTTTATCTCAATCTAGATTGAGAAAAAAACATCCGGCAAAGTTTTGGACGTTCAATCGTCAGGCAGATCCAGCATTTTGCAGCAGTAGCCTTAAACAAAGCTCTGCTAAGGGAAATTGTCGTTCTCAAATATCATAAGTTCGAAATTAAAGAATTTCCCCTCTTTTTAGAACTTTCTTGATTTTTGCAAAAAATATTGCAAACTGTACTCTTATAAGTCTTTGTGTACGATAAATGGTTTGCCTTCTTTTTCTTTTGCTTTTTCTTACCATGCAAAAACTAATATTTTTGCTTTGTCTTTCTGGTATATTATGATA